TACAGGGAATAACATATCACGTCATTATTTAATTTTATGGAAAAAGCTTTCTAAACTGTTTGTTGACAGATAATGAAAAGACAGATTCTTTTTTTATTTTGCCTAAATTACAGCCTGTGCTAAGGTTTTGTCTTTTACTTTAATATTTCTTAAAATGTACTTATCCTTTAGGATCCAACTTTATTATTCTTTATTTCAGCATAAGATAAACTAGTAATTGCTTGGAAGACAGGTTCGACAGCACTGAAACTTTTGTGTTCCAGGGTGGCAATAAATTTAGTTGTCACTTTTTAAAATGCCTTAAAGAACTCTGTAGAGTATGATATTATGCAGTCATTAAAAGCATGTTTGTGAATAATATGTAATGACATGAAAAAACGCTCATGATCTAAGTAAAACTGGTAGGTTATAAAAGCTCCATGTATGACCTAATCTTGCATAGACTTTTCTTTTCTTTTTCTTTTTTTTCTTGAGACAGAGTCTTGCTCTGTTGCCCAGGCAGTGGCACCATCTTGGCTCACTGCAGCCTCCGTCTTCCAGGTTCAAGCGATTCTCCTGCCTCAGAGTAGCCGGGATTAAAGGTGCACACCACCACACCCCACTAATTTTTGTATTTTCAGTAGAGACGGGGGTTTCACTGTGTTGACCAGGTTGGTCTCAAACTCCTGACCTCGTGGTCTGTCTGCCTCGGCCTCCCAAAGTTCTGGGATTACAAACATGAGCCACCGCGCCTGGCCAGATATTTTTTAAATATAAACAATATGCCAAAATGTCAAGACTGGCTTCTCTAAATGAGGGGGTGGTGGTTAGAATTATTTTTGTCATTTTCAAAAGGGGATCTCCTTATGTTGCCCAGGCTGGTCTTGAACTCATGGTCTCAAGTGATTCTCCCACCTCAGCCTCCCAAAGTGCTGGAATTATAGGTGTGAGCCAAATGCCCTGGCCACAACTTACTTAATTGAAAAAAAGTTTTTGGTTTGGGGGTTTTTTTAGATTTTCTTTTCTCTCTCTCTCTCTCTCTCTTTTTTTTTTTTTGAGACAAGGTACTGCTCTGTTACCCAGGCTGGAGTATAGAGTACAGTGACACAAACATAACTCATTGCATCCTCAACCTCACGAACTCAAGCTCTCCTCCCACCTCATCCTCTCAAGAAGCTGGGGATTTATTTGTATTTTTTGTAGAGATGGGGTTTCGCCATGTTGCCCAGGCTGGTCTTTAACTCCTGGACTCAAATGATCTGCTAGCCTCAGCCTCCCAAAGTGCTAAGATTACAGGTGTGTGCCACTGCACCCCATCACAGTTATTTTTTTAAAAGTCCCTTTGAATGGGTGAGTGGAAGGCGCTACAGTGTGACCCTGACTGTAGTGCAGTAAAGCCTAAACAAGCCGCTAACATCTCATTCTATGGACAGTTTCATTCCAAAGATAACAAGCATCTCCAAAGCCTGTGGTAAAGATAATGGTCTGGGCCCTTTTTTATTCCCCTTCTTCCAGGAACTCCACCTGGACCTCTGCCACTCCAGGCAAAATCAGGCTGTCCTATCAGGACCTGCTTGGACCCTTCTTTCTATTTACATTCTACTGTGAGGTTGACTCCCTTCTTCAGGATGGCTGAAAGGACCAGTTGAACTCCCCTTTTGAAAATTCAGGGAAGTAGGCCAGGCACAGTGGCTTATGCCTATAATCCCAACACTTTGGGAGGCTGAGGCAGGAGGGTCACTTGAGGCCAAGAATTTGAGACCAGTCTGAGCAATACAGCAAGATTCTGTCTCTACAAAAACAAAACACTTAAAATTAGTGAGGTGTGGTACCACGTGCCCGTAGTTGTAGCTACTCAGGAGGCTGAGATGGGAGGATCACTTGAGTCCAGGAGCTATAATCACACCACTGTATTCCAGCCTGGGCAATAGGGTGAGAACCTGTCTCTAAAAAAAAAAAAAAAGAAAAAAGAAAAGAAATCAAGGAAGTAGTTGTTTAATGGGTATAAAGTTTTAGATTTTCAAGGTAAAAACATTCTAGGGGCCTGTTTCATGACAATATAAAAGTGAATTACTGAATTGTACACATAAAATGGTTACAGTCTACTAAAAATACAAAAATTAGCTGCGCGTGGTGGCACGCACCTGTAGTCCCAACTACTTGGGAGGCTGAGACAGGAGAATCGCTTGAACCCAGGAGGCGGAGGTTGCAGTGAGCCGAGATTGCACCACTGCACTCCAGCCTGGCGACAGAGCGAGACTCTGGAAATATATATTCACAGTACAAAAACAGAAAAAATGGACAATGATTTCTTCACAGTTTTTATATCTAACTATTAGACCATAGGTCTCTTGGTTATAATATGATGTAATATTTTATACACATAATTGTCCAGCGATTAATAACTAAATTTTAATAAAACTGAAATGTCTGCAGAAGATCCAATTTAGGCAACTACTAAATCACATCATTGCCATAATGCCTTTATTTCTTGATTCAGTCTGTAGTTTTAAAACATTAAAAAGTTTTTTAATTTATTTCATCCCTCTTTTTTTATTTTTTGTTTTTGTTTTTGAGACAAGGTCTTCCTCTGTCACCCAGGTTCTGGAGTGCATTGGCACAATCACACCTCATTGCCGTCTCGAAGTCACTGGCTCAAGTGATCCTCCCATCTCGGCCTCCCACATAGCTGGGACAACAGGTAAAAGCCACCATGCCCAGCTTTTTTTTTTTTTTTTTTGTAGAGACAGGGTCTCACCATGTTGCCCAGGCTGGTCTCGAACTATTGGGCTCAAGTGATCCTCCTGCCTCAGCTCCCAAATTGTTGAGATTACAGGAGTGAGCTACTGGGCCTAGCTGTATTATTTTAGATTTTACTTTATACTGGTACTAACTTTCTACCTTAAGAAAACAGATCATTTTTTAAATAATTTTTAGGCCCAGCCCAGTGGCTCATGCTTGTAATCCTAGCACTTTGGGAGGTCAAGGGAGGCGGATAACCTGAGGTCAGGAGTTCGAGACCAGCCTGGCCAACATGGCAAAATCCCCGTTTCTACTAAAAATACAAAAATGAGCCCGGCATGGTGGCGCATGCCTGTAATCCCAGCTACTGGGGAGGCAGAGGCAGGAGAATCGCCTGAACCCAGGAGGCGGAGGTTGCAGTGAGCTAAGATCACCCACTGCACTCTAGTGTGGGCGACAGAGGGAGACTCCATCCCCCCAAAAAAAATTTTTTTTAATGTAAAAAATATCCAAATTCAACAAAAAAATTTATCTGTGGACTAAAATTTACAATTGCCAAAGGGCAAAATAATAGTACGCCTGGAAGCATTCTTTTTGTTTCACTGTTTAAAATTTTTAAAAACTAAAAATGTCAGGCCAGGCGCAGTGGCTCATGCCGTAACCCCAGCAGTTTGGGAGGCCAAGGCAGGCAGATCACGAGGTCAGGAGTTCGAGACCATCCTGGCTAACTCAGTGAAACTCCAGCTTTACTAAAAACACAACATATTAGCCAGGCATGGTGGTACATGCCTGAAGTCCTAGCTACTCAGAAAACTGAGGCAGGAGAATCGCTTGAACCCTCAAGACAGAGGCTGCAGCCAGCCCCAATTGCTCCACTACACTCCAGCCTGGACAACAAAGCAAGACTCTGTCTCAGAAAAAAAAAAAGAAAAACCTAAAAATTCCAAGACAGAATATGGAATAAAGAAGTTGAAATGACTTAAATTCTGCTTCTTTGTTTTTGCCCTGATTACGCTATCATTATGTATTTTAAATCTATTGTTTGAATGCAGGCACATGTTGCCTCATAGTGGGAAAATATAATTGTGCCAATGTTTTGGAACAATTATCAACTGAATCTCAAAAGAAAACATATCTAAATCAACACATGGCATCGGGTGATCTTTATAATTGTCATCTTCAATGTAAACTACATTGTCTATTAAAGAGAAATAACAAAGATTAAAATAATAATACTTAGCTTTTATGTAAAATACATTGTCTATTTAAGAGTAGGTAATACATACACATGAAATGACAGCTCATCATAATCACAGTAATTGTTTACAACTGAAACCAACAAGATCTCTTGAGGGGAGGAGCATTTCGCGATTGACCTGAGAATTGCTGGCACATGGTTACAACAAAAAGCAGGAGGGCTTATTTGGTTTTATTATCGTTTTTAAATTCTCTACAGGCAGAAGGCCCCTTATTGCCTACACCCAGGTGGACTGCTCCCTGCTACACCTCCTCTCGTCATGCCTCCATTCCATAGTTAAGCTGGGCAAGGTTGGTTTTGTTAATTTCACAGTGCTTTATACTGCATTCAGGTTTTACTATGGACACATTGGGTATTCATTTTTTTAATGAACAAATCACAAGTTCCTTATGCAATAAAAATAAGCACCCAGTGACTTATTATTCTGCATATTCAATTTTCTGAAATGGAAGAAGCTCAATAGGAAAAAAATTAGAAAGATAAAAAAAAAATTGAAAGTGCACATTGCTAGAGGATCCAGATGGTGTCCGTGAGTGAGTTGGACAGAAGAGGAGGGTGTGGAGCTGGGACCTCGATGCCAAGCCAAAAGTAGGCAGGTGGTGCTGGGAGTAAGCCGCTGTGCAGACACCTCGAACAGTGTTCTTGTTGGGACATAGACCCACTGTACCCAGGTCTGCTAATTTTTTCATGAAGAGCCGATAATCTAGATGGCTAAGATTCCTGACTTTTAAATGTTGAAAATTAATTCAAACTCTAGAAAACGCTGCTTCACAAACAAAATACATCCACAGCTGCAGTAAGCCTTCAGGCTACCAATTTCCTAATGAAAAATGCAAAAGCAGCAGCTGAACAAGTTTAAAGAGGTTGAGAAAATATGCTGTCTTCTCTGATCCTTTTCCTTTCCTAATAAGTAGCATTTTGGAAAAATCCAGATACACTTACATCATAGCCACAATTATCTGCAGTTTAATGAGACAAGTAGCATAATTAGAGTAGGTAGTTGGGAGTGACCTGAATGCCCACAGCAGTCCTTTCTTTTGAATCAGGGCCAGCAATGGTGTCACCCAGACGCTGTTGACTAATGTACAACAGATTTACTTAACCACTGGCAAACCACATTTCCTTTTCCAGAGCAATAACTTAAAAGATTATTTATCTCCCTTTGTTGCAAAGAGAGGAAATACTTCTTCCTGGACTCAGGGCAGCTGTGACGCGTCCTCCCAGAGAAATCACTAAACTACAAGGATTCAGACAGAGCCCAGAGCCCTGAAAACTTTGGCCACGCGCTTCCTTCCCCTCAGCAGCCACAGGCACCAGCAACTCCAGGGAGGTGAGTGCTTGCTTTGCCCCAAAATCTTCACACCCGCCAGCATGTGTCTGAGCCAGTAGATTGTATTTAAGAAAACCTAAAAATGTTTTGTATCTGGATCTCTTTTGAATTCGAATTTGGCATATTAAAAGTGAAAGTTTACTCAAATTAGATATAAAACAGAAGCTGTTCCCCACATTTCCACAGGTAATTAGAACTTTAGGAATCTTTGTGGAAAAGTTGGAGAGCTAAGTCCTCCGCAGACTTTCCCACTAAGTATCCTCAAGACTCATTCTCTACATGGGGCAAAACAGAATTAGAAGCAAGAATCTGCACAATGCTTCGTCCTCATTCAGAAGCCTTTAAGTATTCTCCGGTTTAAGTGGATGAAAACTTCCCTGTATGGCTGGGTTGCCATGGCTGCTTGCTGTGACCCCCAGGGCTACTAAGCCTGCCACTGTGAGACCATTTCAGTCTCTGCAAAAAGCTTTTTGTGTCTCTAGCCTCACAGTTCAACCAACTAAAGGCCCCCCAAGTATAATCTCCAACCTGCCTACCCTGAAGAACCAGGCATTTACACAAGATAATCATCACCCTGACAAGGGGAAAAAATGTAAATGTCTTTCTGTTATTCATAAATCAGCTTCTCTGTAGGAAAATGTCCTTTTGTATATCTCTTTTCCAGTGCTTCTGTTCTGGACTGATTTTTTTTGTTCGTTTTTTCAAACAACAACAAAAAGATTAGAAATGGTCATTGACAAGAATATGACTTGATTATATAATATTCTCCCAAATGTCTGTTTCTGAAATTTCTATCATCAGAGTTTTTAGATGTTTGGGGGAATATGCTATCTTAACATCACACAAAAAAGAAAGAATAATGCTAACCTTAATGATATCAAAAGGTGAAAGGCCAAGTTGGCGACCCCAATTGTTCTGGTGAGGTTGATGGGAGGGAGGGAATGACCAACTTAAAATCATCCAACCCTTTCTTACAATTAAAGCTTCATTAAGTTAATATAAATCTTCTCTTTTACAATGCAATCTCTTCAAAAGAGCAGTTTTCTAACAGTGATATTTCAAGCATTAGTGGAGAAATGCTATTTGTATGAAATGGGAGATTCTATTCCCCAAAATAATATGATAGCGGCATTGTGTATCTTCCATCTCTGAACCCAGGTGGCCCTACAGATAGATCTGCTTGCACACATTCTCCAGTCAAGAAACCCTTTGAGAGCAGGCATGGTGCCTCACGCCTGTAATCCCAGCACTTTGGGAAGCTGAGGCAGGAGGATTACTTGAGCCCAGTATTTCCAGACCAGCCTGGGCAACACAGTGAGACCCTGTCTCTATTTTTTTTTTTTTTGAGACAGAGTCTCACTCTGTCATACAAACTGGAGTGCAGTGGCACAATCTTGGCTCACTGCAACCTATACCTCCTGGGTTCAAGCAATTCTCCTGCCTCAGTATCCTGAGTGGCTGGGGACTGCAGGCGCATGCCACCACTCCTGACTAATTTTTGTATTTTTAGTAAAGAGGGTTACACCATTTTGGTCAGGCTGGTCTCGAACACCTGACCTTAGATGATCCACCCACCTCAGCCTCCCAAAGTGCTGGGATTACAGGTGTGAGCCACTTCGCCTGGCCCCGTCTCTATTTTTAAAAATAAAAATAATATATATGAAAAGAAACCCATTGAAATACTAGCCACAGCAGCCTTCAGAAAATCTGCAAATGATTTTTTAGAAAGTGGCAAAACTGGCTGGGTGCAGTGGCTCATGCCTATAATCCCAGGGCTTTGGGAGGCCGAGGTAGGCAGGTCACAAGGTCAGGAGTTTGAGACCAGCCTGGCCAACATGGCGAAACATCATCTCTATTAAAAATACAAAAAATTAGCCAGGAGTGGTGGCAGGTGCCTGTAATCACAGCTATTCAGGAGGCTAGGCAGGAGAATCACTCGAACCCGGGAGGCAGAGGATGCAGTAAGCCAAGATCGTGCCACTGCACTCCAGCTTGGGCAACAAGAGCAAAACTCCATCTCAAAAAAAAAAAGAAAGTGGCAAAAGTGTCCTGAAATCCTTCAACCTGGTAGAAGTTTTGCTATCCCTTCCTCTCATTCACTCAATTCTGTAACTATCTCTTCCAATAAGGAAATTGATAGCCCAATGTTTAAGTCTCTTAAGAGAATGATCTTTGAAATCAGAACATCTGGAATCAAACCCCAACTCTGCCACTTACACGAAAGGCTCTCTTAACAGATCTCCAATTAACTAACCCACCAGCTTAACCAATGCACCAAACAGCCTGGCTGGTATGTACTATGCCCTTAATGCTCAGAGCTCAGAGGTAGCGGGTAGCTTATCTCTAGTACACCTGAGCACTTTAGCTACTTTTGCACAACAGATCAACTGCAAGTCATGCCTTAGAGTATCAAGGGGAAGCTCTTCAAACATATATCAAACTATAAAGCTTATTTGCAGAGATATTTATTCCTTTTACTTATTATTTCTTAAACTAATTTCAAAGTGAAGCAAGTATATGTTTTAATACTGTTTTAGGTGGTAACTACAACATAAAAATGCATACACTTTCCTGGGTTTCCGTGTGTATTATGCTTAAACTATGCTTGGAACATAGGACAATCCTTGATCAATGTCATTTCTCTTGTCGCCTTTTATGTTCTTTGCTACTCATTGCCTCCTGCTCTACAGCCAAAAACTCATGTAAAGTAACTCCCTGAAATTCTCTTCAGGAATAGCTTTTACAGGTGAAATTGTGATTTTGTGTGATTACAGAACATAGTACAGAACTATAGTAAACACTAATACTGCTAATGCAAAGGAACGGAAATTAACAGAGCTCTAGTAACCACCCCCTTCACTGACCACATCTATTCATCTGGTCTCACAAAAGACTGAAAAATATGCCAAGACTGAATCAAGGGATTGCGGGTAGGTGTGGGAGAGTATTCATTCTTACAGGGCAGAGGGATATCTGTACTTTGTAAAAGTGCACCTCCCCGCCCCCGACCCCCACCATGAGAATTCCTGCTTTGGATTTCCTAGACTTAGACTTGGTCTTTAACAGTGGACAAAAACAAAATCGTGTGCTTCTCTGGCAGCTGACCTTTCACAGCCTAACATTGTTCAATTTCAAATATCACATGGTTAAGCTGAAGTTAGACCAGACAAAAATAAAGATAGCTAGCTGTCAGAGAGAAACCTGCCACATCAAGGCATGTCTACCTTCATGCCCCACACTTCTCATCCTTTGAATTTATGAATTCTGAATCCTGCCTCAGGTACACAGATGGGCTCACATCTGCCAGGCCCACAGATGGTGACCAGAGATAAAAATCAAACCTTTAGGCTCAGCGAGGTGGCTCATGCCTATAATCCCAGCACTTTGGGAGGCCGAGGCTGGTGGATCACAAAGTCAGGAGTTTGAGTCCAGCCTGGACAATATGGTGAAACCCCTGTTTTGTATTTATACAAAAAAGTTAGCCAGGCGTGGTGGCACATGCCTGTAATCCCAGCTACTCAGGAGGCTAAGGCAGGAGAATTCCTTGAACCCAGGAAGCGGAGGTTGCAGTGAGCCAAGATCACGCCACTATACTCCCCTGGGCAACAGAGTGAGACTCCAACTCAAAAAAAAAAAAAAAAAAAAATCAAACCTTTAAGGGTGGGGGCTCATGCCTGTAATCCCAGCACTTTGGGACGCCAAGGCAGGTGGATCACCTGAGGTCAGGAGTTCAAGATCAGCCTGGCCAAAATGGCAAAACCCTGTCTCTACTAAAAATACAAAAAGTAGCCAGGCGTGGTAGCAGGTGCCTGTAATCTTAGCTACTCAGGAGGCTGAGGCAGGAGAATCATTTGAACCTGGGAAGCAGAGATTGCAGTGAGCTGAGATCATGCCATTGCACTCCAGCCTAGGCAACAGAGCAGGACTCCGTCTAAAAAAAAAAAAATCAAACCTTTAATTCCCTCAGTACTAAGAAAATTCTCTTTCAAACTATCTATGTAAGTAAATTAAAAGTTAAAATACAGGCCAGGTGCAGTGGCTCACGCCTGTAATCCCAGCACTTTGCGACACTGAGGCAGGCAGATCATGAGGTCAGGAGTTCGAGACCAGTCTGGCCAAGAGATCAACCTGACCAATATGGTGAAACCCCGTCTCTGCTAAAAATAGAAAAATTAGCTGGATGTGGTGGCGGGCACCTATAATCCCAGCTACTCAGGAGGCTGAGGCAGGAGAATTGCTTGAACCCGGGAGGCAGAGATTGCAGTGAGCTGAAGATCACATCATTGCACTCCAGCCTGGGTGACAGAGTGAGACTCTGACTCAAAAAAGAAAAAAAAAGTTAAAATTCACACTTAACTAATATGTGATTCCGTCTCTTCACTGTCAGGACATACTGAAGCCCAGAAAGTAAAATCTCCTAATGAGCCTTATATCGTGCATTTGAAGAATGTTCCATCTCTGCTAATTCATTTTTTTTCTTTTCGAGATGGAGTTTCACTCTTGTTGCCCAGGCTGGAGTGCAGTAGCGCAACCTCCACCTTCCAGGATCAAGTGATTCTCCTGCCTCAGCCTCCTGTGTAGCTGGGATTACAGACATGTGCCACCACGCCTGGCAATTTTTGTGTTTTTAGTAGAGGCAGGGTTTCACCATGTTGGTCAGGCTGGTCTCCAACTCCCAACCTCAGGTGATCCACCCACCTTGGCCTCCCAAAGTGCTGGGATTACAGGCTGAGCCACTGTGCCCGGCCCGTCTCTGCTAATTTTACTTGACTCTTCTTAGGCAAACGCCTACCCAGACAAAGAAGGGTTGGGTGTCCCCCATTCATCACTGATTTTCAGCCTGCAGCAGAACAGCTAGTAGCAATGATTTCCATTCAAAAAACAAACTTGTTACACAAACACAGGCTGGGAGAGAGAATTAATTAGTACAGATGTTCATTGCTTACTTTCTTCCTGGATTGCATGATGATTTTTTTTTCTTTTTTTCTTTTTTTTTTCCCCTCAAGAGGAGTCTTGCTCTGTCACCCAGGCTGTAGTACAGTAGCACAATCTCAGCTCACTGCAACCTGTACCTCTCAAGTTCAAATGATTCTCCTGCCCCAGCCTCCTGAGTAGCTCGGACTACAGGCATGCACCACCATGCTCGGCTAATTTTTGTATTTTTAGTAGAGATGGGAGGGTTTCACTATGTTGGCCAGGCTGATCTCGAACTCCTGACCTTGTGATCCGCCTGCCTCAGCCTCCCAAAGTGCTGAGATTACAGGCGTGAGCCACCCCGCCCGGCCTGCATGATGAATTTTTGTGGAGGGTGGTGCGGGAAGGGAAGAACCACATTCAAAACCCAACATCATTCTTCTCTACACTGTCATTTCAAAAGCCAGATACCAGTGGAAGGAGGAACAAAGCCGTTCAGAACACCATTCTCCATTTAGTTCTGGTGGGACAATAGCTTCTCTCATCCCAGAAAATTAACTGGTAAGTGCTCTCCTGTTTATTTTCCTCAAACTGATACATTTAGAGCTGACCTGATGAGGATTCCTGCAGACAATTTATTTACAAAACAGCATTTTGACTAACTACTAGCTGGCAAAAAAAGAAAAGGACTCCTGATCATTTGCAAAATGCTCTGTCTGCAGATTCATATTTTTGGTCTTGGCAAAAGTGTTTAGGGACGATCCTATAGGGTTCACTACAGCTGCTGATGAATCCTAAAACCCTGCAAGAGAGAAAATAAGCATGTTGCTGGGGTGGCCGACAAAGAAGAACTTTAAGTAATTTTCTCAGCTTTTTACCTACATAATTACAGCTCATAAATCTGGCTTTTAAGGAGTTGTGATCTAGAAATAGTCAAACATCATTTGTGGAAGGCTCACTGTTGAGAAACTAGTGGAAAAAAAAATGGTACTCTGAGATGAAAGCTGATATTTCCCTCTTTAGATTACAAGGTGGGAAAAAGTTCTCAATTTAGCTGTAATGCAGTTCCCCCACACTGGCTCCCCCTTTTTACGATGAAAGTCTTGTGGTTTGCTGTGCTCTCCCCTTTCTTTGTTGTTGTTGCCTTTTTGAAATCTCACTCTCAATTTCTTTTTAGAATAATTGATATCCAGGCTCTCCCAACAAGGGATAGATGGCTAAATGCAGGGAAGACTGGGAGAGAAGGGTTCAGCTATTTAATTGTTCCTTTTCTAGTCAGAAACTGTGAGCACCAATTGCTTTTATCTTTTCCTCCAAAGGAAAGCTAATGAAAACAAAATAACATTTGATAACAGAACTTTCACTGGCAATAATGATCTTAAATTGACTTTTTCACTTAAGGCAGACTTATTCACTCAAGAATCCACAAACCTGTTGTTACATCAATCCAATGGTATTTTTGTTTTATTTAAAAAAAAAAAAAAAAAAAAAGACCAAGGGAACTTTCTCTGGGTCTCAAGTTACAAGAAATTATTCTTAGTGAATAATTCTCATCATATTTGTACATCTTCCAGATGCTAGATTATGTTTTTCATGGCCTATTTTATGATTTTAGCTTATAAAAGATCATACATTCCTGTTACTTTACCGCTAATTGTCATGTCCCTGAGATAAATATTTAATAACAGATCATGTTAACCAGAATTATAATCATGTAAAAAGTAAATGAAGTAGAAAGGATTGAATGTGCAAAATTGATAATAGATGTGTTACTCTGATGGTGAGGTTATATATGTGTCAGGGAGAAAAATCTTCTCCTGTTCCCTCTTAGATTTGTTACCAGGGGCCAGCAAATGAAATTGGCAGAAGAAAGATTATCAAGAGAAAATAAAATTTAATTGTATATACATAGATATGGGCGTTTCCAAGTAAATGTGACTCAGAGGTTGCAGTGAGCTATGATTGTGCCACTACATTCCAGCCTGGGCGACCAGAACCTATCACAAAAAAAAAAAAAAAAAAGTGACTGAGATGGGCAGTTAGAATTTAGGGCTTACATGCCATCTTTTTTTTTTTTTATGTGCGTGTTTTTTTGTTTTTTGTTTTGTTTTATATATGCCATCTGAATAGGAGAAATGGAAGAGAAGAAGGGCACTTATAAGAAACCAAATGACTTTTTAGAAACATAAATGGATCCTTAGGAGAATAGACCAGTGATATGAGAGTTTTAGTGACAATATCTGTTTGGGTGTGGTGGAAGACTTCTCATCTCTGGTGATAAGAGTCAGTCTTCCCTGATTGCTTCCAGGGAGGGGATCTATGGCAGTAAATTCTCTTGAGTTCTTTTGGAGGGCTCTGCTTTTAGGCAGATAAGAGATTTCAAAACTTAAATCCCTTCTGCCCAAAATAATTTTTATGCCACACTGGTGTGTTCTACACTGCTTCAGGCAATATATCCATTCCATTTTCCCAAACTTACTCTAATCGTACATTATTTTTATAATGTTAAAACTCTCTAATGTTGCCAGGTACAGTGGTGTGTATCTGTAGTCCTAGCAACTCAGGAGGCTGAGGCAGGAGGATCTCTCGAACCTGAGAGATGGTGTCCAGCCTGGGAATATAGTGAGACCCTGTCTCTAGGGGAAAAAAAATGGGGGAAAAATAGCTATCTATTTTTTTTTCAGGTCTGAATTACCACACAAACCACAAAGTTAAACCTTTAAATCTGGTGGCAATATACAGTCCTGATTTACCTGGTTTCCTTGGTGGTATTAACTTCAGTATGGCTACATTTAATGAAAGTAATAGACACTATGCCACAATAAAAACCGACAGTACAAAATTAAAAGGTAGAAAAGGCATAACTAGTTAAATCAAGATTAGTAACATAGCACTCTCTTGAACTTGGACAATTTCCAAATATACGTCTAACGCACAATATCTACAATATCTTTTTTTTTTTTTTTTTGAGAGACGGCATCTTGCTCTGTTGCCCAGGCTGGAGTGCAATGGCGCAATCTCGGCTCACCACAACCTCCTCCTCCCAGGTTCCAGCAATTCTCCTGCCTCAGCCTTCTGAGTAGCTGAGATTACAGGTGTGTGCCATCACACCCAGCTAATTTTTGTATTTTTAGTAGAGATGGGGTTTCGCCATGTAGGTCAAGCTTGTCTCAAACTCCTGAACTTGTGATCTGCCCACGTCGGTCTCGCAAAGTGCTGGGATTACAGGCGACTGCACAATATCTTTACACTTGTTATTTTGATTTTGCCAAGTCATCCCTGAGCTCTGCCTCTAACTTGTCTCATGGCATGAGACGGAGCAAACTCTCTGTACCTTGGCTTTCTTTCCTTTACAATAAATCAAATGGATAAGATTCCTTCCAAAACTCTCCAATTCCTTTTTGGATTTTTTTTTTTAACCCCTTCTTATTAAGTCACTGTTCAGTGTGATCTATATGATGGATTATCTAGCATATACAATGGGTACTTAATATTTAGTGGGAAAAAATCTTCTATTCAGACTCTGCATATTTTTCAATATGAACTTGATCTTATTATGTTCTGATTAGTTTGTTGAAACTCAAATAAGTGGAAAAATGTTCTTCATTGTTAAAGAAAGTGGTATCAACAGGAATAAAATATAACATGAATCAGGCAGAAATTTTTTGCTAGAAATTATGCAATCCTCCCTTCAAAAGAGTGGAGAAGGGCAGGGGTTAGGAATGGGACCTGGCTTTGCCTGCAGAAAAGTTTATCTCTGGGCGAAGCAAATTGACCTAGGGGAGAGCCAATTACCCAAACTTGGTCTTAATGCGTTTTATTCAGCAAACAAACTCAACTAGCTTATGTAAATTGAGTGTGTGAAGCATTGCAAACAGCAACTCTCTACAGGACAAGTGCAAATAAAGAACTGTTTTGGCCGGGCGCGGTGGCTCAAGCCTGTAATCCCAGCACTTTGGGAGGCCGAGGGGGGTGGATCACAAGGTCAAGAGATCGAGACCATCCTGGTCAACATGGTGAAACCCCGTCTCTACTAAAAATACAAAAAATTAGCTGGGCATGGTGGCACGTGCCTGTAATCCCAGCTACTCAGGAGGTTGAGGCAGGAGAATTGCCTGAACCCAGGAGGTGGAGGTTGCGGTGAGCCGAGATCGCGCCATTGCACTCCAGCCTGGGTAACAAGAGCGAAACTCCGTCTCCAAAAAAAAAAAGAACTGTTTTGTGATAAAAGAATTCAACAAAGCAAATAAATAAGGTATGTTACGACTTTTTGAATGTTGTATTATTTTTGTTTTACTCTCAGTTTTCACCTTCATCGTCAGGCAGAGGAAGATAGAAATTGAAAAATTGGGTTACTTATTTGGAAGTCTAATATTTTGCCCTGTTGGAGAGGTGCTTAGCATTCACTAAGAAAATCCACCTGTATTTGTCATTATCAGTCAAGCAAATATTGACTGAACCCTCAGTTAGTGTGATGAGAGAAGACACACGATTTTAGTGGAAAGTTCTTAACCTCAGAAAGCTTTGAGTTGTACTGCCTGAGACACAGAATTAAGTTCATAAACTAAGAAGTTTTAAAGTTCTGAAAAAAACAACCCAAAAAAGTGCTATTTGGTGGGGGGGGGGGTGGGCGGGGGAGACAGAGTCTCACTCTATCACCCAGGCTGAAGGGCAGTTGTGTGATCTCAGCTCACAGCAGCCTCCACCTCCGGGTTCAAGTGATTCTCTTGCTCCAGCCATCAGAATAGCTGGGATTACAGGCGTGTGTTACCATCCGTGGCTAATTTTTGTATTTTTCATAGAGACAGAGTTTCACTGTGTTGTCCAGGATAGTCTCCAACTCCTGGCCTTAAGTGATCCACCCACCTTAGCCTCCCAAAGTGTTAGGATTACAGGTGTGAGCCACTGGGCCTGGCTGTGACCTTGACCATTTTTTTTGACCTTGACCATTTTTGATCTAACAAAATAGCAGTTTCTTATGCCTTAACATAAAAAATGAATCGATAATTTAATAAAAATAGGAGACTGGGCCCCATGGCCCACACCTGTAGCCCAAACACTTTCAGAGGCCAAGATGGGAGAATTGCTTGAGCCCAAGAGTTCGAAACCAGCATGGGCACCATAGTGAGTCCACATTTCTATCAAAATTTTAAAAATTAGCCAGGCATGGTAGTACAGGCCTATACTTCCAGCTACATAGGAAGCTGAGGCAGGAGGATTGCTGGAGCCTGGAAGGTGGAGGCTGCAGGAAATGTGACCGTGCCACTACATTCTAGCCTCCATTACAGAGTAAGACCCTGTCTGGGAAAAAAAAAGTTACATATATTTATATATGTAAATATTTCTCATTTATATAAACATTTGTATATTTCTACACACTAAAACCATAGTAAGCATGATTTGTTTGTTCTTGAGACACAGCTCTCTCTGTTGCCAAGGCTGGAGTACAGCAGCACTGTCACAGTTCACTGCAACCTCAACCTCCTAGGCCCAAGTGATCCTACCACCTCTGAGTAGCTAGGACTACAGGCATGTACTACCATGCCTGGCTTCTTTTTTGA